GTGCTCACACCCGCACGTGTTGCTGCCGCCAGCTTTCAATCATGTGGTGCTCACACCCGCACGTGTTGCTGCCGCCAGCTTTCAATCATGTGCTGCTGCACCAGTCATTTCAATACGCACGCTGATGACGTACCCGTACACGTACACACTGCTTTGCACGTCCGCACATCCACGCACATTTGCACACATCCACACCCACATCCACACCTTGCGTCACGCACAGGTGTCGACTGGCAGCTGCAAGTACTCGCCTGAGACCAGCAGCATTGTGTGGACCATCAAGCAGTTTCCTGGCGGTCACGAGTTCTTCATGCGCGCGCACTTCAACCTGCCCAGGTTTGGTTCCGGTTGACACGCCGTGCTCGCGTAAATGTTTGCGTTTATGTGTTACCTGGCTGTTTGAGTTACACGTGCAATGCTTGTGGCAAAACACAGCCCCCCCATACCCTTCATGCCTAACTCGTTCGCACTCACAATACGCACAATGACACGCACACCCTTGCGCAGTGTGGAGAGCGAAGAAGTTGAGCAGCGCCCGCCGATTCAAGTGCAGTTTGAAATCCCGTACTTTACAACATCCGGTGTTCAGGTGCGTGACCGCTCTGCTCTTTCTTTGCTGTGTTGTCCTTGGCCATGTGTGCGTGTGTGTGTGTGTGTGTGTGTGTGTGTGTGTGTGTGTGTGTGTGTGTGTGTGTGTGTGTGTGTGTGGCGCTTCCCTGACGTGGGTGCTGCGCCCAGCTGGCGTTTGCTCACTTGTGCTCACACCTCACACTGCATGTTTGTTCCTATGTGCGCGCAGGTTCGGTATCTGAAGGTTGTGGAGAAGAGCGGCTACCAGGCGCTGCCGTGGGTGCGCTACATCACAAAGAACGGGGACTACCAAGTCCGAACCATGTAATCGCCGCGCCAAGACGTAGCTTGACCCTCCGAACAACAACAACAACAACAACAACAACAACAACAACAACAACAACAACAACAACAACAACAACAACAACAACAACAACAACCTCCCTGTGTCGCTGTAAGCCTCATGCAAGTCATGTGCGTGCTCCAGCAAACAAGTGCCCTTCCTTGTTTCATTCACGTTTGCTCTTCGCAACTTGTTTCTACACTGTGCCGTTATGCCGTCCCTTTGCTTCTTTGCTGTTTGTGCTGTGCTGTCGCCTGTCCTGCCTGGTGTTGCTTCACCGCTCAACGGCCACAACAACAAACCGCAAACTCCTACAAAACCGCGCGCGCGTGCGAAGAACGACACCGCTTTTTGCCCTGAGCAGTTTTGTACACAACATCGTCATAAGTCTTGCTGTTGCGTGCATGCATGGTTTTGGCGGGAAAACACTTTGGCCTTTCGGCAAATCTTACACGTGGCTCGGTTGTCTGCACAAACCTCAGCAAATGTGTGGACACTCTGTTTGACGTCTGCGAAGCGGTGTCTACGAGGCGCTTGTTGTCTGCTACCGTGCCGTCTGTGTTTGTGCTGAAGTGTCATCACGGTATGAGGGCTTGCGCGTGAGCTATGAGCCATGGTCGTGTCTGCACATCGACCATTTACCCTTGCATCTTCCAGACTCACATCAGACCACCAAGTATCCATATCGCTTGCTTCTCGCGCGTGTTCGTTCGTGTGCAGTGTGGCGTTGCATTTTGCATCTCACTCGTATCAGCAACTACCGGTGCTGAGGGCTGCTTCGACATACACACGACAGCGACAGCGAGGAGAAGATCCAGAGACGTCCAGCACCAACTGATTGAGCGTGTCAGAAGTGACAGAGGTTAGCAAACCATGGCACGCCCACTGTGCTACTGTCTGCTGAGCACATGTTTCCGTCTTCCCCCCCCCGCCGGTTTTACCTGTGTGCACAACCACACTTGTGTGTATGTTGGAAGCGACTGCACACACACACACACGCACACACACACACACACGTACACTCCACTGACTGACGTTACACGCTTCATTCTCCGCAGATGTCCTCGAACGATGTGTTTGGGGCAGGCAGGGATCAGGACGGGGCTGTGTCTAATGGAAGCGGGCAAGCTGCATTCAACAGCCACGACCAGGCCCGCCCGTTTGTGCAAGCCCCCGGCATGAACTGGTACAAGGCCACACCCCACTTCGATGATGCTGCAAGCTCCAGCCCCAGCAGCAAGCAGAACCCAGGCTCTGGAGCTCTTGGGCCGTTGCAGCCCAACAACAATGAGTCCTCCCCGGCCACTGCTACGACTGCTCAGCGCACCCTGAGCCCCCGTGTTCAAGACCGCAGCGGCTTCTCAGACGGTGGCATCAGCTCCATGTCCAACAGCATGCTTCACACCAGCACGCCCATTAAAGATGGGAATGGCACCCCCACCTCAAGCAGCACCAGCACCACGCCCAGCCACGGCAGTCTCAGAGGAGATGCAAGCAGCTACGCCGTGCAACAGCCGAACCATCAGCAGCAGCAACAGCAACAGCAGCAACAGCAACAGCAGCAACAGCAACAGCAACAGCAGAAACAGCCAGGCAAACAACAGCAGCAGTCCTCATCAAGTCTTCCGGGTCTCCCAAGAGACCCTCAACAAGCTCCGCAAACGGCGGTTCAAGCCAACAACTACAACGCATCAGCTGGACGTATGGGCCCTGCCCCTGCTCAACTCGCGCCAGCATCACGTAGCATGCCGCCTCGTGCCACCTTTGCTGAAACCCAGGCAGCCCCACCACCAGCCACCCCAGTCGCTCCAGCTGACCAAACCACTGCCGTGTCACACGCCTCCGCCTTCAGCAACAGCGGCAACAATGGTAGCAATGGCAACACCAGCACCGCCACCACCACTACCACCACCTCCTCCTCGTCTTCCTCCTCCAACAACCACAACAACAATAGCAGCAGCAGCCCCATCCCCGCTCTAAGCAGCATCACCCCCACCACCCCTGAGATTCCCAGCACCCTGGCGATGCTTTACGCCACGTCGATGGTTCCACAACACGCAAGTCTGCATTCTTGTGCTCAGCTTCCTGATCCACACCCAGCCAAGTTTGCCAAGACCAGTCAAGATTACCGACGAGCCATGATAGATGACCTGTACGATGCTGGAGAAGTAGCAGAAATGACCGTGACTGGCCTCGACCAGCACTCAAAGCAAGTTTCCCAGTTGCGTGTTGGTGAGGGTTGGGGGCGGGGGTGTGAGGAAGATGTACATTCAGAACCAACCAACAAAGCTACAAAGGGCTTGGGCTACGATTGTCTTTGCATGTGCGTTGACATGCTGAGCTGCTGTCATGCTGACCTGCCCTTGAGACAACCCCGGCCTCTCACGCAGTTGTTTACGCTCGATTGCTGACTTGCCTTTACGCCTCATCACAAACATTTACATGCACAGAAGCCATCAAGGCAGTGTGATGCAGTGCACAAGGCGCCTGAATGAAATCATTGCCCAGCTGGAAAACAGGCTCCGCGAGCGCCGCAACGCCCGCCAGCAACTGCAGGACAGTTTGAAGGAAATGCTCGAGTTCTGGCAAGCTTGAGGTGTTAGTGAGGAGGAATGAGAATGAGGCGAAGATGGCCCGTGCTGTTCATGCACCCAACAACAGCGTGGCTTCTCTTACTCGCAACACATACCTGAAGTTGCTTCACATCAGTGCACTTCAACACAGCACCCAATTACAACACAACATTTCGCCTAACATCCAAATCCCACATTGCAACCCCAAGAACACTTGCCACTGTCCGTCAGCAACAACAACCACAACAACAACAACCACAACAACAACAACCACAACAACCACAACCACAACAACAACAACAACAACAACCACAACAACAACAACAACAACAACAACAACAACCAACCAACCAACCAACCAACCAACCAACCAACCAGCCAACCACTCACATCAGTACTCGTCACTCTGCTTCTCTTGCTGTTTTTTTGTGTGTCCATGCGTCTTCTGTGTTCATGTGTGTTCTATTCACACACGCTTGTCATGGTGATGTGTATGCCGTGGTGTAACAGCAGCAGTGGATGCATGGGCAATAAAGCAACGCGGTGATGCAACCTTGGGGTGCATGCATAGCACATGATGAAACAACAGAAGACACAAAACAAGAGATGGCACAAAAGAAGAGACGACACACACACACACACACACACATACACACACACAGAGGTGTTGGCGGATGTGCAGGTGTGTGTGTGTGTGTTCATGCATGCTCAGAATACGAGCGCAAGGCAGCTGGAAGACAGGCGCACATCAGCGCGCTGCCACGTGTCGTCCAGCTGCTGCTGGACCTTGGCAACATCGGCAGGGGAGTACTTCTGGGGCTGCTGTTGCATTGCGGCAATCAGCCCAAACAGAGACCAGCCGTTGTTGGGGTACTCGTGCAGGTCAGCACGGTACACGGCATCTGCATCCACGTAGCGCTGTGCATTGAGATACGCTTGTCCAAGACACTGGCGCAAGGGCATGTGGAAGTCTGGCGGCTCGTCATACGGCCACGACGTCTGTATGACATGGCGAGGAAGCGAGGAGAAGGGACGGGTTGTCGGTGAAGGTGGGGGGGGGATTGAACGCGAGTGTGAGCAAACATGTGGCACTGCCTGTAGAGGGGTGAGATGCAGATGCCTATGCAGAAACCACAGTGACGCAAACAAACACACAACGTGTGGAATACACAAGCACGCACACACGCAAAGCAAAGCAAAGCAAAGCAGAGCAAAGCAAAGCAAAGCAAAGCAAGCGAACAAGCAGGATACTAACGAACACACCTGCTCGCCGACAGCGGATTGCATAAACTGAACGGCCCTGTGGGTGTCGCTGGCTTGGGCGGCGAGGGTGGCGCGCAGAGCCATCTCTGCCACAATGGCGTATTTGTAAAATCGGCCCGTCAAGTTCTTCTTCTCGAGCGCGAGCGCCTGCAAGCACGCCTCCGCAGCTGTTCGGTTGCCCGTATGTGCGTAGGCGGTGCCGAGCGCATAGTTGGCGAGGGCATGCTGGTACGGCCAGTCGCGCGGCATCTCAAGCGGCGTGGCGAGCACATCAGACCACCGGCCAAAGCGCACGTGCGTGGTCATGGGAATGTGCCAGCCAAGATCAGGGCCGGGCCCATCGGGGCGGTCTGCAATGTGGGGCCACAGCGCACGAGTTAAAATCAAGGGATGCGCAGGACAGCAACCCACAAACAAGGGAGTTAGGGCAAGCAAGGGAGTGAAAGCAGCCGCGATGCCATTTCAGACTTGCACAACAATACAAAATGAACACACCTACACCCACACACATACACACACACACACACACACGCACACACACCCGTACCCACCCACACACATACACACACACACACACACACACACCTACCCACCCATCCACACCCACACACACACACACACACACACACACACACACACACACACACACACACACACACACACACACACCTGGGGCGGCGCGGTAGACGTTGTGGAGCGTGACGCCAAAATCGCGTGCCACCTGGCTCTGACCGTCCATGCAAGCGCCATAGATGAGGAAGGCGAGATTATGACCCGGCCCATACGGAAGCAAGCCGTGCTTGAGCCACGCTGCATCAGAGGCGTGTGCAATGCGGTTGACCGTGACCACGTCCCCATAGCGGCCAACGCGCAGGTATACGTGCCCAGACATGTGCTGGATGTGCTGCCACTGCGTTGTGTTGAACCGTCGCTGGAAGTCGAGTGCAGACGGCAGGCCGCGGCCCGCGCTCTCCGGCCCAAAGCCAGGGGCACTTGGCTCCGTGATGTGGATGTACAAGTGCTGCACAAGCGGGTGGGCGCCGTGCATGCCGGGCGCTGTCAGGTTGAGTGCCGCCTCCAGCACGCGCGTCACCTGCGCAATCTCCGGGAAGGGCTTGCCTGTGGTGGTGTTGTAGAAGCGGTACCCGCCAATCACAGCGTGCAGCATCATGACGGCCTCGCTGTACAGCGCAGCCACGTCGGCGTCCTTGGCCACCCAACTTGTGCTGTTGAGGGCAGTGGCGTAGGCACGGAAGAGGTGCGTCTGGTTGGCGCTGCTGTCGGTGCTGTAGCGTTTGGACATGGCGGAGATCAGGAACAGCTCCTTGTCCGACAGTTGTCCTTGCTGCTTGCGTGCAAGGGCAAGAGCCTTGGCAGCCTGCTTGGCTCCGTCACCGCAGGCAGGCGAGCTGCACACGGGCACGTTGATCACGGGCCCCGCCGCATAGGCAAGCCCCCAGTAGCACATGGCGCAGGTCGGGTCGAGCTGTGCGCACTCGCCAAAGAAGCGAGCTGCTGCGTCGTGGGCAAACCCAAACGTCAGCTGCATGCCTTCATCAAATGCGTGCTGCGCGCCAGTCACGTTGGTGTTGATGGGCATGGTGTAGTTGGTGAGGCGCGGGGCCCACGGTGGCGGCGACGGCGCTGTCGTTGTCGTTGACACTGTCGTTGTCGCGCTTGTTGTCGTTGAGGCTGAGCTTGAGGTCGTGCTGGTGCCACACGACGAGCTGACGAGGGCTGTTGCGATCATGCCCCTGTCGGAGTGTGGGCTCATGTGGCAGTGGTACGGCACAAGGCCCTCGTATGTCATGGGCCGAAACCTCACGCGGACCGACCCGGCGACGGGCGTCGTCACTGTATCGCGCCAGTCCCCAACCTCGTAGTCGTAGCTCAAGCCGCCGTTGCTGTCGTCAACAACCTGGAACTTGAACGTGTGCCTGTGCGTGCGTGTGTGTGTGTGTGTGGGTGTGCGTGAGGGTGTAAAATAGCATACATCGGGATCCAGGGAATGTCATCTGAACGTCACAACAGCAACACATGCATACAAGCAAAAACACACATACAGACACAGACACAGACACACAGACACAGACACGTAAGCAGACAAAATGCAAACAAGGTGCCAGCAGCACATTGCCCATCCATACATGTGGAAGCCGTGGCTGATGGTGACGGGGTGTTGGTATTTCTTCAGCAGCTTGCCAGATGCCGCTGTGCGGTTCATGGTGGAGAGGCAGAGCGGCTGCGATGCATTGCAGATCCAGATGGGGTTCACAACGGTCCACTCGGCTGTAGCCGTGGACGGCTGCAGGCATGTGCTGGGACGCAGGCTGGCATTGAACGCGCGCCCCGAAATGCCGTAAATTGGCACATCTGTCAAGCCCTGCGTATTGTTGATCATGTACAGCAGGTCCCACTGCACAGTGTGATATGAGGCGGGCGTTGTGTCGCGTGTGTCGGTGAGGTAGGCGGGAAGAGACGGGAGCTTCGTGGGGCGTGTCATGTTCATGCTGTCACCGTCCACATCCACCAGGGCCAGAATGCCAGACGCAAAGCCTTGCTGCTGCCCAAAGTTGAGCACATCTGGATTCTCGCGCGACATGAGGTAGTGCAGGCCTTGCTTCTCGCACATCACAGCAATGTCTGCTCAGCCAGGTGTTGCGTATTCATGTACGTCAGTGAAGTTTACGTGTGTGAACGTGAGAGAGAGGGAGCGTGTGTGTGTGAGTGTGTGAGCGTGAGTGTGTGAGCGTGAGTGTGTGAGCGTGAGTGTGTGAGCGTGAGTGTGTAAGCGATGAGCCATCGCAGTCATTGCAAAACTCTCTCACTCTCTCTCACACACAGACACAGACAGGCACAGACACGCACACTCGCAGACGCACAGGGCGCTGTTGTGCATATGGACTAGCAGGCGTACCAGCGCGCGATCCTGGTGGAAGGACGAGGGGAGCGCTGTTGTTCTTTAGACGCGGTGCGTTGAGATACACGCCGTCCATTGCAAGCACGAGCGTTTCGCAGCCGGGCACAGTCAGGGACAGGCTGGCTTGGTGGGCGGCATTAAGCGTGCGCCACCGCTGCCATTCGCCTGCATTGTTGTGTGCGTGTGTGTGTGTGTGTCAAAGTGAGGGGACAGGTCTATATGTGTGTATGTGTGTATGTGTGTATGTGTGTTTGTGTATGTGTGTATGTGTGTATGTGTGTATGTGTGTATGTGTCCACCTTGCGACCGCAGACAGACACAGACAAGACAACAGGCACACACACAAACACACACACACACACACAGGCACACACAGGCACACACAAAGACACACACAAAGACACATACACACACACACACACACACACACACACACACGCAGAGAAAGGTACCTGGGCGCACGGTGATGACGGGCTGGTATTGGCCGTTGACAATAAAGTAGTTGCCTGGGATGGGGTGGCCTGCGTGCGGGTCTGTGAACGAGAGGTTGAGGGGCATTTGGTCGGTGCTGAAGGAGCGGATGGTGGAGAGAGACCCGGCGCCGTCCAACCCGTGGCAGCGCGACAAATTGGACGTGTGCGGGCCTACATGTGCGTGTGTGTGTATGCGTATGCGTGTGCGTGTGTGTGTATGCGTATGTGTGTGCGTATGTGTGTGTGTGTGTTTGGAGTTCCAGCGAGAGGAGACAGCCATGAGGTGAATGGGAGGATGGAGATGCGAAGCAGGAAAGCATGAACAAGCAAACAACACACCCAGGCAGGGCAGCGAGCAAAATAGTTGTCCAAGCATGCAGCGCATCGTGATTCACGGGAGGCGAATATGATACAATAGACACACCAAACATCCTCCCCACACACAACCAGGCAGGTACATTGCCCGCTGCTTACAGTTGATGTCGTTGGTGGTGTAGTTAAAGTACTCGACGCTCTGCATGACGAGAACGACGTCCCTTCATTGCCTTGAGCGCCGATGGGAGAGAGCGAGGATCGTCTTCCACAATCAGCATCCCAGCCATACCGTTGGCAAGCTGCGCGGAGTACGTCATACTGTCCTCGTCCATGCCTTAACTAGCTTCTAGGGCTAAAGTGTTCGAGCTGCAGGGTCGCAGTGACCACGTCAGACACTGAGTCACTTTCATTAGACTAGCTTCGAGGCGACAAGACGTATAATAGTCCTTTGGAGGGAGAGAGGAAGGATCGTTTTCCACCATTCACCATCCCAGCCATACGGTTGGCAAGCTGAAGACATACGCAAGTCGTGCACGTTGAAAGGGCAACAGGTGAGAGGTTGTACAAAGACATCGTGGGGCGCAAGTGACACAAGTGCATGAATGTCATAACCAGCAGGTTCAACGCACACACACACACACACACACACACACACACACACACAGACGCAGACAGACACACACGCACACGCACGCACACACACACACACACACACAGACACACACACAGACACAGAATGCAGAGTGGCTGCACCAGCCACACCACCATCTCTGCCAGCTTTGTACCTGCAGGGAGACGGATCCGTGAAAGTGCGGGTGGTACCAGTTTGAGCCAGGGGCGTGGTCGCCAGGTACCTGGTACTCGAGCGCCCTCGACTGCCCCGGAAACACGCCAGAGTACACGTCGTGCGGCTCCGTCCACAGGCCGTGCAGATGCAGGTTGGTCACGTTAGGGCAGCGGTAGAAGTTGACATCGGCGCCGCCGCCATCTTGGGTTGCACGGCACGACACAGGATGCGGGTCCAGGTCGTTGATGAGAGAGATGCCGATGGTGTCGCCCGGGTGCACGCGCAGTGTTGGGCCTGGCGTGCTTCCCTCGTAGCTGCGCACGTTGAAGGAGAGGGGCCCTTCCAGCCTTGACGTGGTCACACGCAGTGTTGTCTCCAGCCGACCGCTGATGGACTTGCGCACCTCTGGCTCAATCAATCGGTTGTGGAAGAGTTTGGAGATGTACGTGTCAATGTCTGGGGCAAACGTCGTGTTGGGCAGAATGTGGCAGCGAGAACACACAACCTGGTCCTGCACATTCTGGCGGATGAACGCAGAGGCGTCCGTGGCCAGAGAGCGGCCGCTGCGCGCATGTTTTGACCCCGCCGCCAACGACATAGATGAGGATGATGATGATGATGATGATGATGATGATGATGATGATGATGATGGCGGCGTGCCTTCAAGCATTGCGCTGACGGTTGCAGCCCTGTTGGCTTCTGGCAGGAGCGGGATGCCGCGAGGAAAGGACTGGGTCGCTTTGGTCTTGTCGCTGAGATGGTGGATGTAGATGAGGGCCGCCTCATAGCACCGCCCAGCATGGGCGAGCTCGTGAAGCGGGAGCTCGTTCTCCGCGACAGTGCTGGCCTGTCCCAACTCTGCTTCGCCTTTGTCTTTGTCTTTGTTGTTGGTTGTGTTGAGGAGAGCAAGCTCCGTTTGCCAGTTGTGTTGGAACTCTGCCAGGGAGTTGAAGCGAAGGCGGCGGCGATCGCGGCGCTGCGTGTATTGCTGGTTGAAGAGGCGAGCGTCGGCGTCGTTGAGGGTGGCCTGGAACAGGTCCAGCAAGGCGTCGTGCAGGTCCTCGAATCCGTAGGCCTCGCAGGGGACGGCCGTGTGCTTGAAGCCAAGCGCATGCGCGTCAATGTGCCTGTTGAGGGTGGTGGCCACCTCGGCTGCGTCCTTTCCGACAAAGTGTGGCCCGGGCTTTGGTGTCCTGGCTCGCAGGGCATCCTGGCGCATCGTCCCCCTGGCTGCGCTTGCAGCTGCAGCAGCAGGTGTCACTGTACACGACACCACCAGCAACGCAGCGCAGCACACAGCCACTGCTGCCCACATCGTGGTGGAGGTGATGAGGGAGGGAGGAAGTGAGATGTGAGGAGGTGAGATGTGAGGCGTACAACCGAGCCGGAACAAGAGTGAAAAGAGTGGAGGGGATGAAGGCAAACTAAGTGCTGTGTGTGTGTGGCAAGCAAGCAAGAAGAGCGCCGTTTGAGTGTTGTTGGTGTGGTGTCCTCATCAGGCGTCACAACATGAGATTGCGTAAATTTGGTTTAAATCATTCATCAGAATTCTCACAGGACTGCTGCTGCTCCAACCAAGCAGAACAACACCCACGATCACTCTTCTTCACATGCACTCACCACTACAACACAACAACAACAACACAACAACACAATACAACAACCACGATGACCATGGCTGCGACTGCTGGGATGCTTGTGGCAGTGGTGTGGTGCTGTTGCTGCTTGGCAGCGCTGCCTTTTGGTGTGGTGCACGGAGCGCCCGTGACGCAGGAGCGTGCGGGCGTCCGGCTTCAGCATGCGAAGCACGGCGTTGCCAATGACGCCTCTGACAGCGTTTGCAGTGGCCATGGAACCAAGTTCCTTGCAGAGGAGGCATCGCTCGGCTTCACGGAATGCCAGTGCTTCCAGTGCTACGAGGGCCCCAACTGCGAGACCCTCACGGCAAACTGCTCTCTGGAAACCCGCGTTGCGGAGGCCACCTTGTTTACCCCTTGGTTCACAAACACCAACAAGGGCAACCTCTCCCTGACTATCAGCCCGGTAGGTCAGGCCGTTCTATGTGTGTAAATGTGCGTGTATGTGTAAATGTGCGTGTGTGTGTATATGCGGTGTGTGCGTGTGTATGTGTGTACGTGTGTGTGTGAATGTGTGTGTGTGTGTGTGTGTGGACGTTTCCGTTGTGTGTGCTTTTACGTTTCGGCGCATGCAAACTTGTACCCAACTCACACCATCATGCCTCATCCTGCCACACCCTGCTCATCCTTCATCCCTTGCAACCTAAATTTCCAATCCACTCACATATTCCCTCATCCCGCCACACACACACACACACACACACACACACACACACACACACACACACACACACACACACACACACCACACACACACACACACCACACACACACACACACACACACACACACACACACGCACACACACGCCCTCTCTCTTTCTCAACGCCATGCAGCACTACCATCCGGGGTATCTTCGGTCCCCGCGCGTGTTTCCGCCCTCGTCGCTGCCAGATGACACGAGCTTCGATGCCATCAGCCGCATCCTGAACGCGTCCATCCGAGAGCTGCACACGCGCGTCGGCAACGTGGACCCGACCAACTACACGCTCGTCCTCGGCGCTGGCGGGGTGCAGCTCATCGACGCTGCCCTGTATGCGCTGACGCAAGGGCCCAACCGCCACAAGACCATGCACGTGTTCGCCGAGAAGCCGTACTACCCGCACTTCCGCATGGCATCGGACCTCAACCCGCTCACCAACTGGACGGACGAGGGCAAGCGCATGTGTTCGGAGGACCCTTCGTCGCTCATCGAGGTCGTCACCAGCCCAAACAACCCGGATGGGCGCCGCATGACCCCAATCTGCCCGCGCGCGTTCCGCATCACAGACTACGTGTACCGCTGGCCCCACTACGCCGCCGCTGACACAACCCTGCACGGCGGTGACATCATGATCTTCTCCTTCTCCAAGCTGAGCGGGTACGCTGCGAGCCGCATTGGCTGGGCCTTTGTGCGCGACCCAGCCGTGGCCAGCATCATGAGCCAGTACATGTGGCTGCAGTCCACAGCCCCCGCCGTCGAGTCACAGCTGCGCGCCGCCAAGTCCCTGCAGGCAATTGTTGCCAGCATGGATGCACCCATCACCAGCAACACCAACTTCTTCGGCTATGCACGCGCGGCGCTGGCCGACCGGTGGTCGCGCCTGCACAGCGTGTTTGACAAGCAGACGCGCTTCAAGCTCGACTGCACCGACGGCAACCTGTTCATGTGGATCCGTTGCACACACGAGGACGACACGCACGACTGCGCCGCCCCATTTGCCGCTGTCGGCATCACAACCGAGACGGGCGTGAACTACGGCGCGGGCACAGATGTGGTGCGCATCTGCATGGGCCACCACGACTCGACGTTTGAGCTGCTGATGGATCGCCTCGCCGCCCTCATGCACAGCGGCGAGCGGACAGAACCGATGATTGCGTCAGACGCCGCACTGCGCTCTGCTGACGTCAGCACCGACGCCCGCGCTCAGCCAGCACACGGTGTATCTAGCACCACCACCACCAGCACCAACTACGGTATCAGCAGTGACATCAGCACTTCCTCGTCCTCGTCCTCGTCCTCGTCCCCCTCCTCCTCTGCGCCTGCGTTGGTTGAGGGCCAGGGTGTGGTTGGTCGTGCCGATGTGCGTCGTGCCGCCACCAAGGTGCCCCGCCCGTCATTCAGGGGCGCAGACTTCACGGACATGTCAACGCGGCTGAACGGGCACCTGCAGAAGTACACCTCATATGGGGTGTCATTTGAACCCTGTGACACCTTCACGGTGGGCGACTTGCACAATGTCACGCGCATGTTGCACGCGGCGCGCCAGCCCACGCTGCAAGACATCTACCTCGCCACCAACGACAGCCGGCGCAACGCGTTTGGTCGCCTGGACCAGACCCTGGAGGGAAACATTGCCACGGAACAGGCTGTGGCGTCCACGGGGGACCACGCCCACGCGCTCGTGCGTGACGCGCTGTGCCACCGCCTGGTCATGCAGTTTGTGCATCACCTCTCTGAGCAGCAGCGGCGCGACGGTGGCCGGGGCCTCGTCATGCCCATGCTGCCGAACGCATATCATCACCCGGACCAGACACAGGATGTCGTTGCCAGCATCGCTGCTGCAGGCCCTGGTGATGATGGTCGTGCAGTGGCTGACGACGCTGCTGTTGGTTCTGTTGGTGCTGCTGGCACGAGCACGGTTGAGACGCTGCATGTCGCCCGCCAGATGTACGACGAGGCAACCAAGTGCATCGTGTGCCACATTGCCTCCAACAGCACAGGTGACAGCACTTCAACAAGTGGCAGCCATGGAGACAACACGCCTGCGGCCGCCACCGCTGGGGAGAGACCGGATGTTCCGCTGTGGCCCGAGGAGTTTGACGTTCGTTTTGGTCTCACCACGTCCCACGGCAAGAACGTCTCCAGCCACATGTACTTCAGCAGCAAGGTACTGGTTTGTGCATATGTGTGTAAGTGTGTGCATGTGTCAGTGTGTTGTTCGTGTGTGCATGTGTCTGCGTGTTGTTCGTGTGTGCATGCGCGTGTGTGCATGGCAAGTGGTACGGTTGGACATCACGTCCTCACTTGCACTCGTTGTGCTGTTGTTCTCTTCTTCTCACCACCACCACCACCACCACCACCACCACCACCACCACCACCACCACCACTACCACCACCTTTCCTTCCACATGCGATGCGCAAAGGTGCCTGGGATGCACATCTACCATGAGGAGTGCGTGCAGAACTTCCTGCCACAGCTGCCGCTGGTGAAAGGGCCTTGCAGCCTCACGTTCCACTCCAACGGGCTGTGGTTCATGTGGCCAAACGCAACAACAGGCATCGACAACTGCTGCACGGTGGTGCTTACAGACATGAGCGCAAACCTCGGGCTGGATGAGCTGGATGGATTTGACTTTGTGAAGAACACCACAACAACAGACTACTTTGGTCACACTGTTCAGGCCGAGCAGTGGACAAATGGGCCGC